TCCTGGGCTGTTTCCTGTCACATCTCGGGATGGCTGGACCTACCTCCACATGCTCGGCAGCATCCGGCACCACTGCGGTCCCTGTGACGAGTCACAGCGGTCACAGCGGCCACGAGGCTCTGCTCGGACACTGCCACTGGGGACTGCTGGGATCGGGTTTTGTATATAGTTAAATATCCTTTGTCCCTGATTAATTCCCTTTTCCTTTCCCCTGTTGTTTTTCATTAAACTTATTACAGTCTTAACTTCCAACCTTGTGTGAAGCATCTTTTTCTCTATTCCCTTTTTTTAAATCTTCCCCTGGGAGGGTAGGGGACAATAGAGAGAAAATCCTGCTCCCTGGGCTTGCCCTGAGCCTTAAATAGAAACAGGAAGAAATAGTGGGTACTTTTTATTCAAAATATGTGTCTTTGGTGATGTTGGTCTAAATCAGAGGGAATTTAGGGTGTTAACACCAAATCTGTTCAGCGCATGCTTTCCAAATCAAGTTATTGCTGCAAGTCAGTTATTAAGGACTCAGATGCAGATAAGGAGAGAGGCCGTAAGCAGGTTAAAAATTTCCTAAAGAGCTGATAAAATGTTTTAAAAAAAACCCAAACCCTGGTATAGTCTGGCTATTTCTTATATGAAGTGAATCTGTGAGTTCCCAGGGTGATAGTATTCCTCTATCTGTGACTTCCCAGAAAAGGAAATAATACAGTTGGATTAGCTCCAGGAAAGTGGCAGCCTTCCCTTCCTCTCCAGATAAGCCAGAGCAGCGCAGGCCATCCAGCAACCCAGAGGACATGGTGTGTCCCCCAGTCACTGTGGATCCTGCTGGTCGGTGCCCTGCAGCGGCTCCCTTCCGTTCCCACTTATGTGCGCATTGCTCCCCTTTCCTCAAAACCAGAGCGGAGCCCTTCTGGGTAAGTCATCACACATGCGGGAAATGGACACCACTTTGGTCCTTCCTTTTCTAGACAGTATTAACAACTCAGCAGCCCAAAGAATTTGTCTTGCAATCCCCTCTGTGGCTCAGCTTTCAATTCACTATTCAAGCAACATGAATGAACCGAAATCTTTATTTGCATTCTCTTCAAATTGCCCTCCACCGCTAGCATGAGACCTTTGGAAGTTTGTTGTGAGAGTAGCAGAGCCAAGATATTTTAGCCGGGCATGATGCCCCACTGCTACCACAAGAATCACTTCAAAGCAACTGCTGAGTCAGAATAAAGGGGGCTGGATGCATTTGCTTCCCAAAGTTCACAATGCAAAGCTGGTCAGGAGGGGGAGCGGGGAGAGAGGTCAATGGATACAACGTTCCCTGTTCCTGAATCACTTCTGCAGGAATTCGTCTCCCAGGCACATCTGAGAGCAGGGAATGTCCTGGGTGAGGGCAAAGGGGTTTGATGGGCTTTTTATAAAGAAATGCCACCCTGGACCACATATAAGGACACCTACTGCTCTTGTCCATCCTCAGGTTTGGGGTAGGGTGGTAATGCAGCATGCCCTGCCACAGCACAGGGTCAGAGAGCTAGCAGCATCACATTTGCAAGCTGAGGAGCTCTGTGCTGCAGTGTAGAAATTGCATAGGGTTGCCTTCAGGCTTTCTTCCCTGGGGTCCCAGAAAAAAGGGGAAAAAGTACCTTTATTATCTTTTGGTCTTCACTTTGCTGCAGCTTTTAAAAAGTGAAGAGCTGGCCCTGTCTGAGCCCTTTATGTTATTTTCGGTTCTGGAAAGCAAAGTATATTCATAAGGACTTTTTTTTTTAAAGGTTTCTACAGCTTTTAAATTGATGCAGTATTTTCTTCATCTCCTGGAGAGTGGTGCGGTTCACCATATGCTGTGTGCCTCTAGGACAGCTCTTGCTTTGGGGAGGAAGGGAGAAAGAGCAGCTGCATATGCTCTGCAGAGAGCTCAGACTTCCCAGGTCCCCAGAGTGGATGTGGGGCCATCCCTCCTTCCCTGACCTGAGTTGGTCACCACTCCCTCCTCTTCCCTTCTCCACCAAGGAGTCTGCTGTCTTCTCTTCCTAGGAGGTATAAAGGCAAGGAAATGGTGGGGAATGGCCATCATGACCCTTTTCTGCTCCTCATTCTTCTTACTTCTGCTCCAGCCCTGGGTAATCACCAGCTGTGGCCCAGTGTGTCCAGATCCCCATCTCACCTAATACACAAGCCTGCCAAGAAAATATCGGACTGCTTCTTGAGCTGGGTAGAAGATGGTCCTGCCCCACCTTAAGATTTCAAAACAATTCCCACTGTGTGTTTGCTGAAACTTGCTGGAATTTTTCAGCAGAAGGAGATGAGTCCACCCCAGGGTAGACCAGAGCCTGGCTGTTAGCATGTAGTCTTGGGCAAGTAGGCACAGAGGACAAAATCCCCGCTCTGGCTCCTGCAGAGCAGGCACCTGAACCTCCCATGTCCCTTCACCCCTTCAAATCCTGCCTTGCTAAAACCAGTCCAGTCCTGTAGGAAGTGCTGACTTTGATGAATCAACATTTTCCAGTGAAAAATGTGGCATTTGCAATTTTCCAGACAGTCCTAATTGAGAGCATTCAGAAAAAGTAAACAAACAAACGAGCAAACCAAACAATGGCAGAGGACAGGAAATGAGTCGGGCATCTCTGAAGAGCTGTCCTCACCCAAGCATTGCTCCCAGGGCAGAAGTGCCAGCAGATAAACAGCTCTGGGATGTGGGCAGGAACTACCATGCTCTGCTGCAGGAGCTTGACCTTGATGCAAGGTCCCTTCGGTGCCGAACATGTGTAGTAGGTTCCCTCTGTAATGCAAGATGCACCTCTGATACTACAAATGAGGGCTCTAGACCACTCTGGCTTGTGCCTGTCCTTGACATGACACATGTGCTCCATTTCTAGAGAAGCCAGAGGTACCTCCACAGACTTTGCAGTATCCCTCTTCTTCCAGCTGTTTCCATCACCACTATGAAGCACTTGGAGAAGTGCTAGTATCAGTCTGGCAGCCAGGCACTCAAGGCTCCTCCGTATACCACCTCTTTCTCTTCCAGTAGTCATAATTCCAATCTGTACCATCAGCAGACCTGTACAATATTGTCAGGTAGGTACAGATGAACATCTCAGATTTGCACTAGAAAGTCTCAGTCTTGTCTCAGAAGAGCCTGTTTTCCATGGACCCCTGATACTGAGTGCAGGATCTTGGTTGTAGGTAATGCAGAACAAGCCCAGGTGACTCCAACAAGCCTTGGGTTTTCAATTGTGGAGGGCAACCCTTCTCTTGGATGTGGTTTCCCTCCAGACCATGTAAATGGACCCAATGGCAGCACCTCTTCCCTGCCTTTGGGCTCAGGGTGGCGACGCCCTGGGACAGATGAATGTATGGGATTGCTGGAACTCCACTGCATGCCTGAATATGATGGTGGCCTTACCATGAGCAATATCTCTGCTATTTTTACTGCAGTAACACCAAACCTAACTTCATGGGGCACCAGGACAGGTAGGAGAAATGTTTCTAAGGAGTCCCCTGTAGAAACCACTGGAGCTATATACTGTGAGGTTTGATGAGAGCCAAGTAGCTCAGAAACAGCAAATGTCTTGCCATGCTTTCATAACCACAAGATTTTGGCCCAAGGTTGCCTGTCACAGCTGCAAGCTCTGCTGCTGGGAATATTCAGTGTGGCCCAAAGGAGCGGGTGTTGGAGTGGGATGGAAGAGCAATCCGGGGAGCAGCACTGGCAGAGCAGCACTGGTGTGGTGGCTCGTATCCCAAGCTCTTGGATTCATTAAGGGAGCCCATATGGAGGGTCACCACAGGGAATTACTGGTGCTTTCTATTTCCTGTTTTATGGCTGTGTCTCCTTCTTGAAAGCTCCTCCAGCTGCTCTTCCAGTCCTACAGTTTGTAGTGGTTTTGCCAGTTTTGTGCTCATGATAGGAATGAGAGCAGTGCATCCTGGCAGGGATGAGATGGCAGCTTCCATCTGCAGCTCCAATGGAGGCAGTCAGATCTGGTTTGGAAAAAATCTGTTAAAACCACAGCCTCCTCTCAGACCTGCTTTCAAAATCTGCCACCAGCAAGATGCAGACCTGGCCATTGCTGCCACCTCTCCCAGGTTGCACCCATCCCACAAGAACCTCCTGCCTTTTCCACTACCCTGGCAAGGGTCCCCCCTCAGCAGAGGCGGCATGATCCTTCTCCAGTCTCTGCCACCCTAACCAGCTGGCATTGCCATGGCCGCTTTTCCTTGCAGAAAGTGGCTATTTTTGGGCCAGATACTTGAAAGGGATTTGCAGCAACAGGAGCAAGGATGATGCTCTGAAGTGTCCAGCTCTTGACTGATACACTTGAAACTCCTTTTGGATGAAATCCGCTTTCTGCATACAACTTGTCAAATACTTGTGAGTGACAAGCATGTCCCACAGCAGAGGCTCTGCCTGGGCCTCCCACAAGCAGAAGGGGGAACTGGACACACTTTCTAAATTGGTCATGGCAGTCACCCACTATTTTTATGGGTACAATTAATAGGTGACTTAATTCTTTGCTTAATCTGAACTGTTTCCATTACGCAGCTGAAGAAGTTTGGTCTCCCAGCTGCCTCGCTATATCTGGGCTGTGAACTGCAGGAAGTTGATCAGCATGACATTGCCACAGATATACCTCTTTAATGTTTTCCTAGAAAGAGAAACCTCATACAAATCTCTCTGCTCTCTTCTTGTTCCCCAGGCACCAGGGGTACCAAGTGTTCTGTGTACCACTTCAGCGCTGCATAATCCTTCTCCCTCCCTCCCAGGGAGTTAATTTGGGTGGCAGAAAGGTATTGCAAAGTGATGGGTGGCTCCATGAACTTTTAAAACTGTCTTTCCCAAGCACAGACAATGACCCCCTAAAGTAAACATCAATGGCCCCTTCCCAAGACATGGACACATGAACCAGCACAGTTCTTCGAATAGGTCCACAATGTTTATTCAATTGCCTTGAACGTGCAATAGCGTAAGTGCATATTTCTGCCTTCTGCCTACAAGCTCTCCGCTGCTGGCCTTGCTGCTAGTTGCAGTAGTTTTCCAGTTGGTAGAGGGAGCAGGTGTTGTGGCAGCATTGCTCCACTATCCCTCGCTTCACTTTCTCAAACTCCTCCTGCTGGAAGGGCAGTTCTCCTACCTCGCCATGCAAGGGACCGTTCACTGCCAGGAAATAAAAAGATAAGCTGTGGGACATCACACCACATCAGCCCTGGCTGTTGAGCCCCACAGAGACCCCCTTTGCAGACATCAGATTTTTAAGCCAGAGTTGGCTGGAGAATGGGGAGGAGGACAAGGGGCAATGGGAGCAAGCTGGAGCATAGGAGGTTCAATCTGAGCATGATGAAAAACTTTTTTACTGTGAGGTTGCCAGAGCACTGAACAGGCTGCCCAGAGAGGCTGTGGAGTCTCCTTCTCTGCAGACATTCAAAACCCGCCTGGACGTGTTCCTGTGTGACCTGGTCTGGTGATCCTGCTCTGGCAGGGGGATTGGACTGGATGAGCTTTCGAGGTCCCTTCCAACTCCTAGCATTCTGTGATTCTGTGAAGGTTTCCCCAGGTTGATGCTGCTTGTAACATCTTCAGGCTCTGTGTTTCCTTTCCCAAAATAATCCTATGGTGCTCAGAAGGAGCCAAGTTGAGTGAATATCAGCAGTGTGAGGGACAAGGGGATACAAGGGCTTTAATGTGGCAGGCCTGTGGAGGAGAAACCCTGCACCCTTCTTGGGGTTAGCAGCTGGTCAATAAGATGATAAAATGGGCTGGTCTGCTCCAGAGAGCTCCTGGAAGCCTGAGCCCCCAACAAATTGGATGTCTATGGGATCTCAAGGATGATCCTATCCTGGGGCTGGATGCATTTTCCAGCTGGTCCTGAACAGCTTACTCCTGTTAGCTGCCTTGATATAGCCTTGAGACTATGGTAAAAGTGTTTGTGCGTGTCTGTGTTCACAGCTGGGGATGGGTTTTTAGAAGAAATTATGAATTGGGGTATTTGGACACAGACAAAACTCAACATAATATTTCATTTGCCATTGGGAACTTGAGAACTTGTGGACAGAACAGTTCAAGTTTTAGTTGCCCAATTTAAATATAGAAAATGGCAAATAAAACAGTGATTTTTCCTGTAGGAAGAAAAGAGCCCCTAACAAGAAGAAGAAAATGCCTGGAAAGTGAGAATGAGATTAGGTTCCTAAGGCAATATGAAAGTACAGTACAAGATGCAAAAACCCCAAGCCCCCAAAGCGTGATGCAATGAAGGAGGCATAAGAGTAACAAGAAATCATCATGCTATTGTGCTAGGAGGAAACTTTAGGAAAGATTTAGTCCAACTTTAAGTAGAAGAGGAAATAGCTAGTCAGTGTTTTGTGATTTACTTGTCTTCATCCTTCAAGCCAGCTGTGAGCAGACTGTAAACACAACGAACTTGTGTGACAAAGACGTGGTGGCTCAGGCGAAAATCCTCGTACAAGAGGTTGAGAGTCCTCAGATACTTTCAAATGGGTTGGCCCTGGGACTGGCTAACAAAATTTTCAACCCATTTGCGGTGGACTTCAGTAATGAATCATCAGAGAAGCGAGCAACTAACAGTCCCACTGGACATTCAAAACAAATCATGGCAAATCCTCTGCTGTGACATTACCTTGCTTCACCTTCTGAAGACCTTTAAGACTATTGCATTAAATAGTTGCATATGCAGGAGAAGGAATTGGATACAAATGAAATCAGTGTTTGCTGGGAAGAGAATTGGTGGGAGAGGCATATTGTGGTCAAGAGAGGTTAAGAAATAGTCCATCTTGAAACAAGAAGGTTGAAGGGACTGGGATTTGGCAGGAGTCTCCTCTGCACCTATTCAAAGTCTCCATTAGTAGCTTGGAAGACAGAAGAGAAAGCGTACTTGCTAGATTCAGAGGAGCTAAAGCTGAGAGGAACTGCAGGCACCCATCTCAAGTAGAGATATCATCCTTGCATCACACCTGAAGCATTACAGGTCTAGATACAAACACCATGTTGAAGGGCAGCTCTCTGGACTGCCACATCCCACCTGCACTGCCATGCAGACACAAAGTGCTGGACTAGGGACAGTGACATGGCACTGAAGGTGTGCTGGCAGGACTGTCATGTCCTCCTGCCTCCCAGCCCTTGCACTTGTCAGCAGTCCAGGAGTCCTAAGAAGAGGAACCAAAGCAGCTCCACCAGCATTTCACCACCATGAAATAAGAGACAATATAAAGCTGCAGGGGCTGTAAGCCTCTTGAAGGGCAAGATTAATACTAAAAATTACCTTTGAAACTATAGAAACACTGAAAAGGTGCTGAAAGTAAGAATTTCAGTAAGAAACGGGAAAGAAGTTAAAGGTAGGTAAGAAGACTGTGTTGTGCATCCAGGATGAGATCTACCTGAGGAAGGGCCAAGGCATCCAAGGGAGACAGTGATCACTATCAGTCAACACCACAGTGCTGCTTTGAAATAGGCAAACCACCTGTGTAGGCAGGAACATGGTATGAAAAAACATGCAATATAATTCTTTCAGTTTGCTCACTCTACTTGGCACTGGCAAGGCCTCAGCTGGGGTCCTGTGTGCTTCTCCAGGCATCATCAGTCAGTAAAGAGGCAGACCGAATGCAGAACAATTGGCATGGACAGAGACCTGGAAAATGTGACCTAAGAAGATAGTGGGGTAGGAGGTGGGTTGTAGAGGGGATTGAATTGAGAGCAGGTTAAAACTAGACATGGGAGCAATCTTCAAATATTTTGAAAAGCAGCTGTAAAGAAAAAAGGAGTAGACTTTTCCCCATGTCCACTATGGAGAATACAAGAAATAATTTACAGCAGAGGATGTTTTTGTTAGATATTGGGAAGAAACACTCAAGGAAAAGAGCAGTTAAGCATGAGAATGGGCAGTTTCAGAAGGCAGAAGAAGCTTTCTCACTGGAGTATTTTTATGAATGTATTAGACAAGCATGGGTCAGGAATAGGATGAAGACAACTGATTCTGTCTTGAGGCAGAAGGAGGCTTCCTGGGCTCCTTTCAATTTTATATTCTGTGAACACTCCCAGGCTGGTGTAATGGCCACACAAAGAAGTAGACAAGTTTGAGCTCTCAGCCACAATTCCTTTTGCCTCATAAATCTCTTTATCATCTGCCTTTTTAACCTGAAGAGCTTTTCATTGCAATGCTATGCTGTTGGTATGTTAAAGGTATTCCTGGCATTCCCCATCAAGGACATTCCTGGTGTCCCAGTCAAAGATAGGTGTTTGTTGCCTTTTACATCACATCGCATACAACTATGTTCATGGTCAGCTTGACTTACCTAGAGGTTGCTCAATGTCCCTTCTGGCTTTGGGGGAGTAGAAGAAACCCCGCTCTCCACACACCAGGTAGAGAGCCTCCACCAAATGGGAGCCACAGAGATGCTGGTTGGCAGCTGCATGGCTGGTCCCAGGGCTGGAAAGAGCAAGAAGGGCCAGGAGAGGCAGTGATCGGATCCAGAGAGCCATGGTGAGCAGGGTGAGGCCTAGGGTTAAGAGGCAAAGGAGACACAGGGAGGTCTAGGAAGAAGAAATAGTTTGTCATTAAGCATCTTATGTCCTTCAGCTTCTTTGGCACGAAAATGAGACCGAAGTAGAAGATGAACCTTCTAAAGATGCCTTAGCTGGAAAGGGAAGGAGAGCTTTCTGCATCAGGTTTACAGTAAATGACTAAAAATCATCTGTCTCCACCCACATGCTCACATCAGTCCTGGCCTCCCTGGAGTCTTCCCCCAAAGGACCAAACTAGACTGGAAGAGCAATTCCACTGAGCTCTGTAGCATAAGTGCACAGGATAGCTGTGATCAGCAGGTGCTTTCAGAGGAAAAACCCTCTCTGCCAAGTCAGAAGGGGCTGTTTCTCATTATGATGGCCCCAAAACAACACAATGATCTCAAAGACCTGAGGAGACCTCATTTTCTTTGACTAGCAAGCCAACACTTGTTATGACCAGCTACATCAGCTTAAGAAAGCACTTCTGCAAAATAGGTAGAAGCTAAAAGGGCAGCGATTGGACTTACCTAAAGAAGTGGCAGCAAGAGATGGAGAGAAGTTCGCACTGAGAGATGGAGACTGATTGGCTGGTAGTAATATCCCCAATCTCTCTTTCCCATATTTATATGCTTTACATTAGCCCAAATGACACAAGAGCTAGCATGAGCCCCACCTCCTTGGTGACGCTCTAGCCAAAATTTTTGCTGTTTATGCACATTAATTTTGCTCCGTGTAGCATCAACAAGTCTTTATGCAAGTTAAGATGGAAGCAACAGTTTGCAGTTTCCATCTCATTTCATCCAATCTGTTTGTGCTTCCCTGAAGCTCTGTCCTGAGCCATCAGTGACCCTTTTAGCAGGAGATAATGGTGCTATTACAGCTGCAATGATTACTAATGACACTAATACTGGCAATAGGCACTGCTGGCATTGAGGTGGCTCAACAGCTGTTTCTAAAATGTAAAATTAAAGGCAAACATGTTAATCTGTTGGATTATATATCACCTTGGAAAGTATGCAGCAATGGGACCAAGTTGTCAGTGAGACCATGCTACGCTCAGGTGTCAGAGGAAGGAAAACACATTATTGCGCTGAGGCTATCTGTGGCTCCATTCACTGGCCATGTGGTGTACAATGAGAGACACGTGTCCATGGCTTGGGCCGGGGGAATAACATCTGCATCTTGCAAGAGACCTCGGGTCATTGTTTTAGCTCAGCACAGGGCCAGAATTAGAGCATTTGAAATATTATACATCAAAAAAATAAGTCTTTCCCTCTTCACCCACTGAAAGGCAGGTCTCTTCCTTCATCTGCTAGGTGTCCTTCCAAATTCCTGTTTGGGATTAAGCAGAGCAGAGATTCAGACTCTGCAGTTTGCTGGCAAAAGCTCTGAGCACCTCAGATCTTCTCTCTGGGGCTCTGCCCAAAATTGTGTCTTTAACACCAAGAAACATTTCTGGTAAAACCCAGAGAAAGCCAGGAGATAGCTGATTATCTCCATTCTGGCTGGTATGTTCGCTGGGCATGAGGTGATCTTCAAACTTCCCATTGCTCTAAATATTGAGACTACAAGTGCTCAGCACCACTGAAAAGGAGACATTTTCATCTGATTGAACTCTGCTGCTTGTTTAACTTAGAATATGCCTGATTCTCCATACACAGTATAAATCAGAAGCAAGTTTACCAAAATCAGCAGAATGCCTTAAGACTCAAACTGGACACCTGACTCCCTGAGTAGCCAAAGCAATTCCATCTATCTGGTTATAGGTGGTAGGAAGTCCCATATGCACCTGTCATGGCTTAAGTGTGAAGCATCATATGTTTGCTAAATGGCTGTGATTGCAAAATGGCTTGTGAGAAGTGCCAAATCTCTGATGAGCATACAGGGAGGCGACTCATTTGCTCAGACAGATGTGAGACAAGGTTATCAGTTGCATCCTCTGCCAAGTAGGTCTTTTAGCCTCCTGCTAACAGATCCAAGTTGTAATGCTCAACTACAGTTAATAGCATCTCTACACGATGTGTAACTCTATCTCTGTCTCCCTTCCCCTCATAAAAGATACTGGATCTACTTGAACGACCTTGTGCTATACCCATGAAAAGGGTCTCAGTTTTCAGCAAGATATGAGTACAGGGAGTTCACTTACACAGTCCTTCTTTCTGCTGGGAAAAGATGAGGAATTAGCAGCTACACAGGATGAAACTTGGCATTTTACCCCATTTGAAGTAGGTTGTCGAAGCCAGGGGCAGAGGCTTTGTTCCACTCATACTTCTTCCATAGCAGGAAGCTCTCACTTGGTGCCTCACATGAAGGTGACAACTTGCAGGATTACCCTGCAGGTCTCCTTAGCAACCATTTTCCTGTGGTCACCACACTGTGTGAGGTCCAAGGCCAGTGGTTAACTTGGAAAGGCTCCAGAGCAGGGTATTCCCCAGGTTAATCACATGGTGAGATTTGTGATTTAGAGTTTTCCTTCATGCACTTCTGAACTTACCTGAGCTCACCTGAACTTGTGTTTTACTGACAGTGGGACTTTGTAAGGAGACTCATCTATCCACCATCATTTCCCTTCTGGGTGTCTTCCCTGCTGGGCTTCTTCCTTCTCCAGAACTTACCCCACTGATGTAG